CCCATCATTTTTTATATAATTCATTTTGTGATTATGGATTCTTAGGGTACTCAGTTTTGGATGACGTGTGTGTCGTTCATCCTGGTGGTTCCGGTGACATCTCGGTTGTACTTGCCAGTGTACATGAAGCTGAGGCTGACGTCCAGCTACGAGTACCTGAACCTCCGCTTCGATAGGCACTGCAGACTGCTCGCCGGCGGTCTCTACATGCTGCAGATGATCCTGTACACGTCCGTCGCCGTCTACGCACCGGCATTAGCTCTAAGTCACGGTGAGCTTCATCGAAACGCAAGTTCCCAATCTGATACACACGTGTTTCTTCGTACTAATTTTTACTCTTTTTTTCCAGTCACTGGCCTTAATACTTATATAGCCGTCACTCTAGTCTACGTAGTTTGTATTTTCTACGCCTCGCAGGTGCATTTTAATTTACTTATTAATTATTTCATTTTATTATCAGAAGTTCCTGCGCTATAATTCTTAACAAAAAATTGTTTTCTCAATTTTAGGGTGGAATGAAAGCCGTTATAATGACGGACACATTCCAAGCAGCGGTGCTGCTCGGTTCCCTGTTCCTGATCGTCGGTTATGGTCTCTCCTGGGAAGGCGGTTTGTCCCAGGTCTGGGAGGTGAACGAGAATTCCGGCAGGATGGAATTCTTTAACATAGACCCGTCGCCCACCGTCCGGCACAGCTTATGGAGCGTGGTGATCGGTGGCACCGTCTACTGGACCACCATGTTCTGCAGCAACCAAGCCTCCGTCCAAAAGTACCTCAGCGTCGAGAGCATCAGTCAAGCCAGAACGTCAGTCTTAATTCCTTGTCCGATTAAATTATCATCAAATGATTCCACTGAAAAGAAAGACAGAATTTTCGGTTTCTTTTTCTAGAGCTCTGTGGGTGTCGGCCGTCGGGATGATCGTGATTTACACAGTGAACTTTTTGACGGGCATGGTGCTCTACAGCACGTACAAAGACTGTGACCCGTTGCATGCCGGATTCATAAGCGGCCAGGACCAATTGCTGCCGCTCTACGTGATGAACTTCATGGGGAACCTGAAGGGAGTCCCCGGTTTCTTCGTCGCTGGGATCTTCGCCGCCTCCTTAGGGTCCGTTTCTCAGTTGCTTTAACACTTTTAATAAAATCAATTGTTTCAGCGTTTTATTATTTTATTTTTATCCGTCTGTAGAACGGTGGCGAGCGCTTTGAACTCTCTGTCGGCGATCACTTGCGAAGATGTCCTGCAGGGCTTGTTCAAACTCGAGTTGCCGGCTAGAAAGGGAGCCGTTTACGCAAGATGGATCAGTATATTCTTCGGAGCACTTAGCTTCGTCCTGGTCTTCGTCGTCGAGCGCCTCGGCAGCGTTCTTCAGGTATTTTACAACTTCACAACAAACTTAACAAAATCATCAACGACAAGTTTAGCACACATTCTGTATTATATAATACAACATTTCTTATCAATTTGAAGAGCACAAAAATCCACGGTGCATTGAGAATAAAGTTTATGATTTAAACGAATGGGAAATGAATATTTCAGGTTGCTCTGTCGTTCAATGGTATGGTAGGAGGTATTACGTTGGGATTGTTCTCTTTGGGGATGTTCATTCCATGGGCGAACGCTAAAGGCGCGATCACCGGTGCCGTCACCAGTTTAGTGATCATCTTATGGATCGGTTTGGGCGCACAGATCGCTGCCCTCAACGGGCAAATCCACCTAGACGGCAAGCCTGTCTCAGTGGACGCCTGCCCTTGCCTCGTCAACGCAACCGTTTCCACGTCATCCACTGATAACGTCGACAGCGACGTCTCTTCCATATACAAGGTACGTAATTTTCAATGAACTTATCAAGCCAATACATTTTTTCTATCGATTTTGTAATAATTCTTTGGTACAAAAATCTCCATTACATCAATTTTGCTTTTGCGTTATTCCTTTATATTTTCTTATAAGTATTAATGAGGAACTGGCCTGATCTTGTTTCAGATAAGTTATCTATGGTACAGCGCGATAGGCTGCATACTGACTATGCTCGTGGGCGTGGTGGTCAGCTTCTTCACCGGATTCCAGAATCCAGCGGATCTGGACCATGACCTTCTCAGCCCGCCGATTGCGTCTCTGTTCCGCATGAACAAGAAGCCCGTGAGCAATGTTCATCAAGGCATCACGAACTTCGCCCTGGAGCTTGACGACGAGAAACACCAAGCGGAGAACGCGAAGAATCTCAAGAAGTGAAGAGAGACACGAGGAGAATCTCGCGCTTGGATCTCGATTTTCGGATGAAACGAAATTATTACAGAGATCTAACGTGAAGAGGACAGCGGAGCGGTGTGAAAAGATTTTCGAAACTCGTTATTGCGAGGTACTTGCAAACATTCAAAAAGTACTTTGATACAGGAAGAAGCTACGTTTAAATAATTATTTATTTATTTATTCCATATTGTATTTATTTTTTACCAGAATAGTCAACAATATTTTTAATTTTAAACGCTTTTAATATCTATCCATGCATTGGATTTTTATAATTATCCATTCTTCTATATCAAAGTACACCGTTGTAAACTTTCGAACTGGAAAAATTGCATGGCAGCAACGAGGTAGAAACTATTTCAGAAGGGAAGAATGAAACTTCGTTGACGAACCAAGTTTCCTGAGAAATACTTTTTCAAGGTTGTCCTTGCAGTTAACCGGTGACTGCACCATACAAGAGTTTACGTGTTAGCTTTTAAGCTGCTCTAACAGAAACTCGAGGCTGGATGGAAGTACAAAGGTGGACAAACTGAACTGGCCAGCAGGGTAAATTGGAGAGTTCATAACAAAAACCCTTGAGATCCTCGATTTAATTAAATGCAGTATTTTACTCAAATCGAAATACTCATAGTAAAATTGTTTAACAGCAATTGTGGTATCATTAAAAAAAAATTGAAATTTGTTGAACGAACGTTCAGCTTTAACTTTCTCCGTAATGAGGCTTAGTTTTGTAATGAACTCTTCGATTCTTTGAACTAAGATACAAGTACAATCGATTCGCTTCGTTCTGGTACTTACGACCGTGGTACTTACAAATATCAAAGGGAAATCATACAAATAGATACCAACTGATAACTAGACTGCAGATTTAAATGTCCAACCAAACGTTTATCAATTAATAGAACTGCAAATAGGAATATATCTTCTCACCTAAGCATTGCAATATGCAATTTTGATACTTTTATACAATATACACAGCTTTCTATAAATACATAGAATCTGCAGTCTATTGATACTGATCCCCAGAAAGAGGATTTTCCTCATTCAATTTGCAATAATCAGTGGAACGAAGCGCGGACCGAATAGAACCAAAGCAAGATGATGAGATTCTATTTTTGATATTTGTTCCTTATTGAGACTAGTATTTAATAAACGTTGCATAATCGTCTCGCGATCAACAAGTCTTAATCCTTTGAAGTTCCCAGAGATCCTACGGTAAGGATCGCTTGGGATGAGACTGGCAAACGTTAAAGCTTGCCAATTTGAAAAGAGAGACAGACAGTTAAGACTCCTTGCCTGAAGGCGACTCGCAATACTTAAATGTTAATTAATAGAATAGTCGTTTATTTATGGCATATCGATCGATACGTGTAGGTACTTATGTTTTACTTAGAGAATCTCAACCATTCCTGGGAAAGAAATCTCGAGGGCGGTCACGATTTTTATCAGCAGACTGCAAACGTTTATCAATAAAAGTAATAATTAAAAATGCGTGTATATATATCCGAATTAATTCTTAAAGTCTAATAAGTTTAAGTGAACGAGAAACCTCGTATAAATAGTATAACAACGAAACCTTCTCCAACTTTATGTTTTTATTAGTCCTGGAATACTTTTTAAATTGCTGCATGTAGAGGTTTTATTTCTGAGCTTTTAATCAAAGCAGAGCAATTATTATTTTACGAATCGTTTTAACATTTTTAGAAGTTGTTTATTCCTTTTCAAAGGATCTGTTATTCAACTCGTTCATTGAATAAGAAAATAAAGCTTGCGTCCTGGAGAAGTTTCTATGTAGTATCAACCTTGAACAATTCGTTTAAGAATGAACGTTCCCTCGAGAATGGCCCTAGGTTTGCTCTCCAGTTTCTTTTATATCATGGAGATGGAAAATCATGTTCGTTTTCAAATAGACTGCGGATCTGTACTTCGTTATTCTCGCGTATTTAACATACAAATAGTTGCACATCAGCGAGCACGCATACATACACAATCCCTGAGGAGTGCACGCGTACACACGTTCTAAGTGCAAGCTTGTTCATCGATAGATAAATTGTTTGTACATAAAATACATTATATTTGTCCTACTCGTTCGTCGTTATGTTTTATCATTACACTCCCCCATCAATTAAATATTTTTAAGAATAATTAAATGATATCCATGGAACACAGAATTATATGATTCTATTGCTTTATAGAAAAATTAATATAAAATGACTATCAGAACAGAGGCGACAGGAATATTAACGAAAATTCTGTATCAGATTAATCAATGCTTATAAAAAAAATAGCCTGATTAGAATATCGATTGTCAACGTGGATATCAAAGAGTGAGAGAGTGGCTGCGAACTGGCAGCAGTGGGAGGGCGTCAAAGAGAAAGGAGACGACAGTGAAAGTGGATCAATACGCCGTTAACGTTTCCCCAGGCAGTGTGCTGGCACACAGTCACGGTTCCTCACTCGCCCCGTATTTGCTTCTTCTTGGGAACTGTTCTACATAGTGCGGCAATTTCGAGAGACAGTGGCCGAAAGCAGGTAATTCTGGTTCGTCGGCTACATTCGTCCTCGTCTCGTTTGAGACAGCGCCGGGATGCGGTGGCACCGGCGTCGAAAATCTCTGTCCCACGGTTCAAGCTGGCAGTGACAGTTCGCGATTACGTTGCCACCGACGATATTCCCGTTGCAAATGACTTGTGGAAAGTTGGACATGTAGTGGGCGATGATCGCAGATGGGGGAAGATCGAGTTTCGACACTGGCCAAGCCATGCATCTCGCTCATTTCGTACGTAACTAATTCTATCTCACCATTCATACATCTCACATTACGTCATATGTAAGCATCTTGTGATGTATTAAGAGATCGTTCAGCACTAAAACATAATCAGAGAAATGTTAAAAGGAACAAATTATAAAAGGAAAGGCTGAATCAATTACGTCTATGAAATATAAAAAATAAAGAAACGAGAGAAGTGAAACTAATTATTGGAAATAATGTCGATATGAAAAGAATTTACTTACTGCGATAATGAAATGATGAAATTATTTAAAATAAAATTACTTGAATTAAATACACGATACTGTAAAAAGTATATACACTGCACTTGAAGGAAACATGTGTCTGTATATGATAATGTAGTTAGAAATAAGCTTATCACTACATCAATCGAAACTCTTTATCCTTGTCAGATGTACAAGCTCGCGGTTAAATTAGAGCTGAGGTGGCTCCGGCTGTTTCGTTGGACCATCCTGGTGCCACTCGTTATCTACCTGTCCCTGCTCTTCGTCAGGTACAACCGAAACGTGCCTTTGAAGAGCCTCGCGTCTAAACGCGAACAGGAGAGCGTGGGCTCTGTGATGGAAAGCTTGTTCTTGGAACTGGAGGCAGTTTCGGACAAAAGGGAAGCCGAACGGAAGATCGAGAGACCGGAAGAGAGTATGGAGAACCCGAGGGCTTTGTTAGAGAACGTGTTTCACAGGGCAGATACTGACCAAGACCTCTTGTTGGATATCCAAGAGCTGGCTAGGTGGATTCATACCAAGATCACGGAACACATCAGCAGAGCCATGAGGGAGAACATTGGCTTGTTCACGATGATCGATAATAATCCACAAAACGGTAAATTTAATTAAATGAATAAAAAGATTCTTAAATACTTTGAATGAGATTTATGAAAAGTTATTGCCACTTGGCAATCTTTTATAAGAGACTCTTCAACCTTTTATGACAAGATCGTTGAATCTTAATAATAAAAATTCTCAAGTCGTTTACTACTTCATCTTCATAAATATTTCACTGATTGCAGTCCAGCAATTATTGAATTCAATCAAATTTAAATCGACTCTACAATCAATTCATCCTTCTGGATAAAAATATTCATTACTTTGTGTAAAGAACATTTAATTTAAACAGACCAACTGTCGCTCCGATTAAGCATATTCGCGAGAGATAAGGAAACGTGGTTACAGGCGAGATCTCGTGGGAAGAGTATCACGCGTACTTTCTCAAGTCTCACGGATTTCCCGAGAGCTACGTGAGCTCGCACGACAAGAGGCATAGCGACATGTCGCGGACACTGAAGGAGAGCATCATGAGGGACAGGGCCAGATGGGCAGAGGCTGCCAGAAACGACCCAGAGAGGCTCACTCTCGACGAGTTTCTCGCTTTCACTCACCCGGAGAGCAGCCACCGAGCCCTGCTACAAATGGTCGAGGATCTTTTTGAAAAATTCGGTACGACGTGCGATGCTTTACGTCTACTTCAGATTTTATCCAATATTAAATTCGGAAAAAATAACATAGAATACTTTTAATTATTTTATACAATTTCTCTTAATTTAATTTTTCGACAAAATGATTGTTTCCAGTGTGGATTACTAATTTTAACAAATTCAAATCTTGTTTGAGAAGTGCTCAGAGTATTTGAGTATTTGATCTGGATTCTCGTTTTACACCCTCTTTTGCTTTCTTTTCCCGATTGCTTTCAGATCGCGACGGTGACGAACAGCTAACGGAGGACGAATTCTCGGATTTGCCGTCGGAGGGTGTGGGGCTGGACTTGAAGGAGGACAAACACGAGGTGGGCGGCAGCGAGGACAGGCGGAAGGAGTTCAGACACCTTATCGACAAGAATAGAAACGGGAGAGCCGATAGAACGGAACTTCTGGTAGGTAAACATGCAGACAGACACGCTGTCAGATCGACAGTTTACCTCTACCCAATAGAGAACTGATATCGACAGAATTCTTTCCGAATCAAACGTAAAAGACATAAATAAATGACACTTGTTGATTCGAGCTTTAGTACTGTACAATATAATAATAATAATAAT